TCATGCATCATCCTGAGAGCAGCATGTCTGCTGCGGCCCCCGAGGAGATTAATTAGCAGCCTCAGCTAGCGGAGGAGCTGCTGATACAGGCACCCAGCTCAACTCGGAAGATAAATTACCTCGGCTGAAGCTCAAAGTTCAGCTATTTCCCCACATTCAAAACAGTCTGTCAGGGGACCGAGGAGGTCCAGAACTACGTCAGTATCTGGTGTAGGGGAAAGGGGAGAGGGGGGGGGGGGGGGGGGGGGGAGAGGAGGGGCAGGGAGGGGACAGCCAATGCGTTGTTCTGTATACATATAGCAACTCTAGGCTCAGTAAGTTACTGTAGGTGGCATACATACACCCTCTTAGTAAAGTTATACATTCATCAATAAAGGGAACCTGGATTCATCCTGTATGAACTAACTCCTCACCCACAAAATGATCAGTTGCAAAGTTATATGCTGAGGCCCTCTGTTTCCCGAGTGTCGTCGTCGACGGGGGAGGGGGGGGGGGTGCTAGTGGAGCCTCGCAGCGGAATAGGAATAGGAATAGAAGCATACACGCTCACATACAAGACATGTATCCATCACTAACAGCTTCCTAGCAGTGTGATCGAGGTGTCAGGTAGTGCATTGAAGCTTAAATAAATCTGATCAATCTTCATCATTTCTCAGAAGCAAAACTAGGACAGTGATTTACCAGGTTGCAGACATGTAACCTTTAAAGCAAATGCTACCATGGAACACCATTATTAAAAATAACTAAAATATCTATTTATAAAATCAATGGAGTGAAATGCATGTGAGTGACACATTTGTTTCAAATTATGAGCTTCTTTCAGGGTCAGGTAGAGAAAAGTAGGGCGTAAGAAGAATCATGTTAATGCTCAAGGCTGCACCCAGGGGAGAGGAAACTAGATGCTACTGACAATGTATTCTACCACATACTCAGAAACCCTCAACACTGATTCCATCTTTTTCTTATTTCTATATCACAGCTGGCATGGCCCAATTTCTATTTCTTTCTGCATTGTTGACTTTCTAATATTCTGGGACAACTTAATATGGGGAAAGCGAAATGTAATATCAGGTAGAATGCTTCTAGCTGTGTGAAAAGATGGTAGAAAAACAAATATATCTGCAGTGTTGTATAAGAGACACAGCCTACCTATTCATTATCCATGACGACATGTTCTATGTAAAAGCAGAGAAGATCACCCCATGCACGCCATGTGATACATATTTCAAAAACTATAGACAGCATAAATGCAGTTCATAATACATGTTGTTTACAGTTTGTTAAAACATTCAAAAGAGATGTGTGTGTTTGTGTAAAATGCTGATGTGTTTAAAAAGAAGGCACCTTTAAGCTGACATAAGAATGCACCACGGCACAGCCAATAAGTGAACTGATAAATGTGAGCTGCGGGTCAATACTGTAAAATGCTGACAACATCTGTATCAGCATACCATTTTATGACAATCTCTCCATTTTGCATAAGTAGCATAGATAGTAAAAGCACCGGCGTTTATAGACAGAGCAAGCATGCAGATTTTTGAGATGCCAATGTAAAAGCAGAAGAATGCACGGATTAATGCATGGAGATGTGTTTTCAATAAGCTGCAGGATTTGATTGTGATTGTCTGGTTTCAGCTGACTCGGCTGGGTAGCAGCAGTTGGGCTGGGGGTGTTTTGGGAATAAAGCCTCTCTTTATGGAGCCTAAACATATTGTAGCAGGGAGCAGAGACTGCTGACTGGTGGGTGGGACAATTGAGCGTAATAAATCAAATTGATGTTTCAGCTTGCATATGATGATCAATAAAGCGCTTAAACAAGCACATGCATAGGCTTGTTTTTTTCCCAAATGAATTTTCATAACTCATTTCTGTTGGTCAGCAACCGCATTTTTTATAATTATATTTCTTCATAAAAATAACCTAATTTATTAGTGATTAAAAAAGTTAATAATTTATTTTACAGATGTTAGGGATGGCCAATCAAAGTATTTGTTCAATTGATCCGCTATATTGAACAAGCTTGACCTGCATCTATTTTTTCTCCTCTGCCTACACCATAAATTATACTAAATTGCGGTATGAAACTATTACATTTGTTATTTAGAACATGTATGTGCACACACCACGCCACGTGCAACAAAAGTCTGCAGCACAAAGTAAACAAAAGTCATTTTTGTAATTCACGCAAAATATGCACAACTCAACGAAAATCCAGGTAATTAGGCAATTAAGGCTTAAGAAAAAAGGATCATAGACAGGGATTGTTCTTTTAGTCTTTGCTATCATTTTCTTAAAAAACTGAAAACTAGAAAACTTTAAAGAACAGGCAGGCAAAAAATATTTTTCTGAACTGAAGTGTATGCTGTGCAGCATTTGAATCTGAGCAGATACAAGTATCGGATCATGACTTGTTATTTGCAGATACCCAGTATTAAATGAATGATTGGGATGAAGGTTAAAACAACAGGACAGTTGCTTTGTTTAGACAATAGGCGCTTTCACACCGGAGTACTTTTCCCAGGAATATTTCCGATAGTTCCTGGGATTTTGCGTTCACACCAAAAAGATCTGGAACTAGCACTTTTTTTTGCGAACCTTTTCACCCCTTTTTAGTCCCTGCTAAAGAGGTGGTACTTTCCTGGGGAGGAAAAGGTTCCAATTTCTGATTGGCTGGGTGAATTGCAAACCACGCCCCGTAAAACTCGGAAAAGTTTTGTGAAGCCGCCATTGTATTTGCACGCATTAGCATTATTAGCATTAGCCCAGCGCACCAACGGAGAGAGACTAACTTATGGCAACACATAAGAAAACATGGGAGCGGTGGAGATGAGGAGGTGTCGGCGTTCTGGTGATTTACTCGGAAGGCTTCAGTAGAAGCTGCTGGGAGTCCCAGCAGCTTCTACTGAAGCCAGTCCCCAACTCCGGGGACTTCCGGCCGGGGACTTCGGGTGGCAGTATATGCCATGAAGTTGTTTGCGGCCTGCCAGTAAACCCAAAGCAGAAGAAGACGAAGTGACGTCAGCGGCTTCATTTGCCTAATCCTGCGTCAGGGATTTATTCCGGTGTGAACGCGATTTACTAGATAGTTAGGAAGTAAAGATTTCCGGGGAACTATTCCTGGGAAAAGTACTTGGTGTGAAAGCGCCTTATGTGTGTTACTGTGCTGTGCCTCTTTAAGCAGTGTGTTTGTGTCTGTATGATTAAAGCCACATGAACTCAATCATGAATCTGGTAGAGTCTCCATTCTGCATCCAAAACGACTAGGTTGTTATCAAATGCTGTTACCTGTTACGCTGAATCCACAGGTGTGAGGACATGTACAATCTACTCTCTCTTGTGGTCTGTAGTGCCCACTTGCACCCAGTCTCAAGTCCTGAATTGTGGATGTAGTGAGTCGTTATTCCAGTAAGCATATTCAGTTGTGACTGTTATATACTCCAAACATTATTCTGACATAACGATACATTTGTATTTCCTGAAAAATCAAGTAGCTTTTACCGAGGACTAGAGCTGCAAACTGTGTACACACTCCTGCAGGCCGGCCACCTGGGAGCACATACATTTCATCTGACAAACCTGTTTCTGTCAGAGCCAGAGTAGTGCCGCTTGGCTGATCTGCCCCCCCCACCCGCGGCACTTGGCAGTGCACACAAAAAGTCGAGCAGTCTCTTAAAATCGACCATCCTTTGAATGCACCCTTCAAGCGGGAGATGAGCCTCTCAGGATAACACACAGCGAAGTAGGGCAAAAGGCAGCTTGGCAGTGTTTGTGCTGGTGCAGAACCAAACACAGATATAGAAAGGCAGATGTATGCATTGCACGCTCTCACAAACTCCATCTGATGCACTTAGAGTGAAATATTAATAGCTCCAGGATACTCAGTTAGTGCTGCGTCTGCCTGCATGGGGAAGGAGTGTGTGCGTGTGTGTAACTTTGTTCCTGTGAAACTCAAAATGTGTATCTTAACATAAAAATCTGAACGAATGTGAGTTGTTCCCAAAAATAGACTCCAGAAGAAGAGTTAACTTATTCAGCAACATGAGCATCATTAGTAGTCAACAACACAAAAACTGCTATATGCCATACGTAAATACCACAGAAAACTGCTGTAGATGTTATGAGAAACCATTCCAAATAACTAACCCGCAGAGTTAAGGCAGCAGCCCATGTGCAAGTCAACTCACGAGTGCTCACCTCTTGCTCACCTTATGACACCTCACCATACATGTGTCCATCATCTCCCCATTCCTCTGAAACTCTGTCTAGCCAGAGAGTGCAGATCTGTAGAAATGACAAGTGACCACTTCAAGGCAGAATAAACAAGTTGATGAAGCGCCAGAGAGCTGCGGGTGAGTTGAAGTGGACCAATCGACTGACCTCATGAACAGAGACATTGCCACATGCACGTTCTTCACATTGTCTAGCTACTGTAGCATATGCCTACACAGCTCAGACCCTCTCAAGTCGACATTGAAAATGTATTAAAAGTAATTGCATATTGTGGCATTCAGCAACAACACAATCCCACGTCCTGTCTATATCGCACATCTGCACACACTCTCACATGCACTCAAGGAAACATATACAAACAAGTGCACATGGCCACAGTTTGAGGAAGTGTTTTACATGTACAAATCATTCAGAGAGCTTCAAAACATGAGTAAGGTGACAAAATGTGATCCGCCACAAAGAAATGTAGTGTATAATATTGCCAAAGCACAATAAATAATCAGCGTTATGCAGCAAATAAACACAACTGCAGTAAAGAAATAAGGAAGAAAAAACAGGGAGGGAAAAAGACAGAAAGACACATTTCCAGGAGAGTTGTTACCTAGAAGAAAAAGAGAATATTGAATGCTGCCATCTCCATCTCCTGAAAAGGAATAAAGCGGGGAAAAGGAAGAGAGAGCAATAGTATTAGAGCCCAATATTCAGCACATATAACAAAAAACGCACACGGACCGAACATATGAACACACACAGAACATGGCATGTCCTACCTGTTTGGCTGAGCTGAGAGGTGCTCCGGCTCTTGCGCGACATGCCGACCATGGCCTGCATTTTGGCACCAATGCTGGAGCGCCTCTTCTTCTCGTCGGTGCCTACCGTGCCCACCGCCGTGTCCGACTGGCTGCCGTCCGTCTTCTCCAGGTTACACATGTCGCCGCTAAGGCTTGTGCTCTTGGTCATGTTGACCGCGCCCGTCGAGCCCATCTGCCTGTTTTTCATTTTGGATGCAAAGTCACTGTCAGCCAGCGCCATTGACAGGGGGGGGGGGTCAGCAGGATGAGGACAGAGAGGAGAAGGACAGGGCAAGAGGAGAGGATGTGAAAGGAGAGATGATGGAGGAGGAAACAGGAGGAGAGGAGAGGAAAGGATAGGAGAGAGGACAGGAGATGAGAAGGCGTGGGGTGAAAAGGAGAGAAGGACAGAGTTCAGGTTCAGGAGTTCATGACTTACAGTATAGCTGAGGGTTTAAAGTGCATGGCCTGAATATTGTAAGAGATTGTTCCTTCAGTAAAAGATCCACTATAACATACTCAACTTTAATAGCTTTGTTATCTTGACCTGTGATAGTGCTGTGTTGTGTTGTGTTCCATTCACCACATTCCTCTACAGTCAGCGTTTGTGATCTCTACACACAGGAGAACTGCAAGATGTTTATTGCGATTAGGACAAAGTGCGTGGTCTTTAAGCTCGTTATTGTTTGTCTGTTAGCTCTGGATAATTGCAGCAGTATTATTCTAGTACAACATGTTCACCTCCACTAAGGATTATATTTTTGGTTCGGTTCGTCAACAGGAAAACTACAGGCGCCCTTTTTGTATGAGACGAAGTGAAAGTGTGCAGCAGAGGCCATGGAAGAAGCCATTTGAAAATCCGTAGTGTATTCGAATCACATGGGGTATACACAAATGTATACTTCAAACATTTTTGCAATATAGCTTTGGCGCTCTCCGGATACCCTTTGATTCATGACACATACGTATGTAGTGCTTACTTTGTTGTGCACCACGAGCAAGATTTCAAGTTTGCAAAAAAGTTCAGACTGTTTGTGGGATACAATGTTGAACTCCAGGATAAATACTTGTCGAGTACTGTATTGACATTTTTGGAACACCTGTTAAAGTACATAAACTACTGTAGTTGCCCTATGGCCTTTCATTGTTTCCACTCAGTCCTAGTTTGGAGGGCTAAAATACATGGAGGGCTAAAATACATGGAGGGCTAAAATACATGTTGAATGTACATTCTTCCTTGCTAAAAAAACTTCTATATGGTTTTTGAGCTACAATTCCAACATCCATGTTCTCTTGCTCAGTCTTCATCTACTTCCCTTGTATGTACATGATGTACAAGAACAAAGTGTTGCAACTTTGCTCCAAATCACTAGCTTTCAAAAACTCCACATACCTTTAAATATGTGTAGGTTGTGTCTTCAATGTGGACCTGTTTTGTTATGTCCAATTACGTTTTTGAAAAGTCTGACCAATTTACAAAGAAACCATTCATTTCAATTGAAATAGTTCACATTAAACGATTCTCAAGCATTAGGATGACTTAGTTTCTAAGTATTGGTTCATCTACATTCAACCTAGAATACACTTTAAGGATTTCTTACTTTTCTTCATAAATAGAAACAAGGCCACTTCTCTGCACCAGTCATGACGTACTTTAAAGAAAAGTGTTCTGTCTTCAACATTGTCCTCCAGCTCTCCCTCTTTGAAGGGAAATAGGACAGGGTCCAAATTAGGGTCTTATTTTAGCTCTGCTAGTTAAGTTATCTTTTAGAGACAAATTACATTCTGTATCATAGGCTCTGCATTGTTAATGGGATGAGTTACGTGTAGCGCCCTCAGGCTACTATTCATTCATTAGAGTGTCTGACCTCCACCATGTGACGGTCTTATAAAGACAACTCGTGGAGAGGCATGCTGACTAAAATGGGAAAGGAATCAATGCGGACTCCATCAATTACTTCAATTAGCTCCTTCAGATTCTGCTCTTTCATATATTAGACATTAGTGTTCGACTCCATTGTATTAGAATTAAGAAAATGATTAGTATTTAATAAAGATTATGTCTGGCATTGTAATAGGGGTTCAAGTGCAGGCAGGGAAATCGCATTACCTTGACATTGAAGGTTAGTGATGCTTTTAATTGAAATGTTCAAGTTAGATGGAGGTTTAGCACTAAGCACGTATAAATCTACCATTCGTGGTCTGGCCGCTGTGTTTTGAAGCTCTATGCTGCAAGAGAGACAGAGCAGCTCATGTTCTCAGGCAGTTCAATTATACAAAAATATTTGCAACCATATATTTCACGAGTGTACAAGTTTTTGATGTTTTCACTGGTGACAAGAACATTGTGCACTGCCACCTTTGATTTCTAAGGAAAGTCCTGTCCTAAACACCGTGTGTTGGATGTTTATATGTACTACAGTGTTTTGGTCTTCAGCTGCTGGTGTTATAAGACAGCTGTGAGCCTCAGCCTGAAGTATAAAGCCCTTTGTTTATGCCAGTTCAAATGCCAAAGGGTTCTGTTATGGCTCAGTCTGTACTTTAATACATAAATATTGAATGCTTATTGGGAGGATTAGTGCCTTTGATCAGTTAATGCAGCGGGGGAGCTTTGAAGCACACTTCAAGCGCCTCGACTCCAGACGACGCCACAGGTCGCAAGGTGCATGTGACATTCTAAAATATGCTCTTTCACTGTCATCACAGTGAGGCTGCATTTCATGTGGTGGACACAGTGACAATACTGCCTCTCCTATTGCATCGAATCAAAGCACAGCGGCAAGGTCAGGAGGACAGGGCCAACTTCCATCCTACATCTGCTCCCTGATCTCACGGCGAATTGTAAATGGCTACTGCATGAGATCGCATGCTATGGTTTTATTAAATGTGCCAACTGCTAGGACTGTCTTAGGGAAGATAGCATTTAGATGCGCAGCTCCACTGTCCTGGAATAGTCTGCAATTAAAATGGAAACTGAGCAATCTGGTGCCACTAAATGTTTTTAAAGCTCGGTTGGATGCTACTCAATCGGAAGCTGTTGGTACCTGTGCATGTGGATAGTATGTAAATTGTAATCCCTGTAATGCTAATGTATGATGTCCTTTTGTTGTTCTGTTTATGTTTTTAATGTTTCATGTGGAACCTACTTGAGCAGGTCTCCCTTGAAAAAGAGGTCAATGATCTCAATGGGATACAACCTGGATAAATAAAGGTTTGAAATGAAATGAAATTGTGTCCTCGGCAGATTACTGCCCGCTGAGTTTAATATGGATAAGCACAGAGATTGTTCAGAACCTTACAAATACATTTAGTTTGGAGCACACATTTTCTAAAATATGTTATGCAGTGGAAACCTTTGAAGGGATCACCGTTACATGATCAGCCACTTATTACATAAGGGAAAACATTGATTTATTAAAGATTTTACACAATTTTAGGCATTGATTGCCGGTTTATTTTAAGGACTGTTAAAAATGTTGAATTGACTGAAGGCTATGGATGAATTATACTATCAACAGTAGATGTATTATAGTGTTTTTGAATCATACACATGTGCACTGTAATTTAAGTCATACATTAAAGGTGGGGTATGTAATTTTGGAGAAACCAGCTCGAGTGCGCTAGAATTTGAAAATACACAACCGGAAAAAATCTGCCACTTCCTTACAGAGCCCCTCCTCCAACACACACGAATGCGCACATGACCAATGAGGGCACGAGATAAGTTTGTGCACAGAGGGAAGGCTGACAGGCAGGTAGGCCATCCAGTTATTTTAGCCGGGCCGGCTCAGATGATTGGTCGTGCTTTTTACAGTACTACGGCTTCCACAGATTACATTTTTTAATGTATTTATTGTCAAAGCATTTAATATATTCATTGCTATCGGGATGTTAAGAGCATTCCATGGAATATAACAGAAAGTGTTTCTGAAATAAATTACATACCCCACCTTTAATTTGAAAAGTGTTGGGACAGCTGTAATGTTTTTTGAAACAGCTAATAAATGTCAATTTGATGGTAATCTAGATGACAAATAAAGCAACAAATAATAGTTGCTCCCCCTCGGGCATAGTGCCACCGGACTATGGCTTGTGAATGAGCTGTCACTTAAATGTACGATGAACATAAATGTACCAGCATCTCCTCAGTGTTCCTCTAACACCTCCTCTAATTACTGTATCCCCTCCCTCAGGACAGGGCTTGGCAGAGTCTCTATGTATACATGTGCCTGTTTGGAAAACTGGGACTCTACAGGGATTTTCAACCTCAGCCCAAAGAACACAGTGTCCTCATCATGCAGATCGCTCGCCAATGCATTTTCATCTAGGCCAAGATGTTCCTAAGGAAAAGCAGGAAACATATGTTTGCGTGTAAAAGTGTTGGTACCATGTTGCCTTTAGTCTTCGATCCAGATAATGGTCCTTCCATATCTTAATATCAATATATATCACAATATACTAGTACTAGTATATTGTAATATAGTACTAGTATATTGTATTAGTACTTGTATAATCATAATAAAAGTACTTGTAATACTTGATTACAAGTATTTATATTTAGTATATTATATTGTATAACAGTATTTTATTTGGGCAAAATGTGCCTTGGCAGCAGCTGACCCTAGGCTCTGGAACACTCTGCCCCTCCATGTGAGGTCGGCCCAGACCCTAGGGGTTTTTAAATCTACACTTAAGACTCACTTCTTCTCTCTGGCCTTCTACATTTCCCTGTGTGTGATTTTTATTTTTGCTGTTGTCATTTGTTGTTTTCTGTTTGCTATTGTAGTAAAGTGTTTTTATTGCATGTACAGCACTTTGGCTCGACCAAAAATCGTTTTAAAAATGTGCTATATAAATAAAACTTGATTTGATTTGATTTGAGCCCATTAGTAGGGATTGGTATGAGGCAACCTTTGAGGTAAATGTGTTTTTGGCTCCTGTTTGACTTAAAACAAGGTACACCATTTTAGGTACAATATGTTCTTGTTTTGGTTGAGCCTTAGACAATTTCCCATCAAGCATGGTCTAGTATGATGTAAATATTGCTTTAACTCAGTTCAGTTGCTGGTATTTGAACATTGTGATAGACGCAATATTCTCTTTTTGACTAGCCCTAAAGTATTGTAATTTAAATGTGGTCACATGATGTTTACATGCGAGAAATAGTCCTGTTAACCTCAACATACGACTGCCAAACAAAATGCAGTTATATGTTTTAATGAACCTCTTAGCGGGCCCTTTTTATTACCCAACAAGGAAAAAACTGATGCTGTTTTTATGGCTGCACCAAAAGCGCTGTATGTAAATGTAAAGTCATGCGAGGTGCTTCCTATCCTCTCAGACATGTATCCTCATCTTGTTCGCCTTTCACAGAAGAGATCACTGCTTCTTCATCAGGTGAGGCAGAACAACGTGTTACCATGGCAACTGTGCCCAGACCACAGCATTAGCATGCGTTCATGCCCGTCAACACAATTCTGAAGATTCTTTTTGTCAGGGACTGAAGTGATTAATTAAAGCTCATGGTGAAGTTCTCATCAGATACAGGCCTCTCACTAGACAGGCTGGTATTGAATGAGGTGGGGCTCCTGCTTTTTGGAAGTGATCAGCCCTTGTCCTTCAAAGCACCAGTCTTTACTCTCCCTCGCATGAATGAGCCATTACCCAGGCAACAGTATTTGATGAAAGAGACATGGAGGAGTAGAGGTGATGTGGGATTTAAAAGTGCTGATGGAAAGCTCCTTACATCCTGTGGACGGCTGGACACAGCGTCCGCTCAGAGCGTGTGGCTCTCTGAGCTGTGAGAGCGCTCATGTGGCTATCATTGTGTTCGCACACAGGGCCTATGTGAACAGGACTGCTTAATGTGCAGCAGATGCATATTTACACTGTGACCTCAATACATAGAAGATGAGTCATAAGTAAATGCAGCTAGTAGCGATGTTTCTGCCGAATCACTTGACTCTGTTGCTTTCTCGCAGAGATAAGCGCAGCGCTGAATGAACCTTTTATCACTGGAGGCAGGTAGCATCTTATCCTTTGCACAGCAACTTCCTGACTCCTATACAGTATTGATTGCTTTCAGTATTGACAGGCTCTTATAATAAGGCTATGCCAACTGTTTAAGTTCATTGTACAGGCTGATGTGAATGTCGTCACTGGCAGAGCTTACATAACAGTACATGGAAAATAAAAGTCCCTTTTGTTATCTCAGAACATACAGACAGATCATACTGTTTAAGTTTATGACGTAGATACAACAATCTATATGTTGTCTACCTCAGGGATCCTACTCTGTGTTATAGAACTGAGATCTGTGGCTCTGACACTTTTATAAGGTGGTCATTACTTTGTAATTAGTTTAATTGTGTTTTTTATCGGGGCAGTTCTAGCATTCTGTTGTCCAACAGATCGCTGAAACCATTTGTACTTGAAAACCTTGGTAACGGCTGGGGCAAATTTTTTTAATTTTATATTAGTCTGTTCATTATTTTCTCAAGCATTTAATTTCTTGTGGATCTATGATGGACATTAGATTTTTACCAAGGCCTAAAGTAACATATATTTTGGTTCAACCAACAGTTTAAAACCCAAAGAGAACTACATGTATTACTAAATGATGCATCAATAATTCAAATTGTTTCAGCTCTTATCTCATTCATATTTGACACAATGTTTCATTAAAGAGAGGGACTGGATTCATTTATTGAACTGTTTTATATTTCCTTTTTAAGGTTGAATGGGCGGTAGAGTTGAAGAATCACTGAGCGTATAATAATAATAAGAGTGCATATTATATTTATTCTTATGCAATAATCTTGCTCGTCTGTGTCCATCACAGTGATTGCTTTAATAACTGTTCATACCACCCACAACCAAATCATAAGGAGCATCCAAAGTAAGGTTTAATAACGTGTGTATTGATATCTGAAGGGAAATGCATGATCCAAACTTTTGAAATACTGCTGCTTAGCAACCACGTTTCACTGTTTCAACTGTTTCAACTGTTTACAGACATTATTATTTGGTAAAGTAATTAAGCCAAACTTTCTGTCTAAATACCTTCAATTACTATTGATCATTTGATTTATTTGGAGCTATTTTAAGAAGTCAGTATGTTATAGATTTATACTGTAGCTGTCATGAAGGAATTAGGGTAGATCACACATATAAGAGTTCTCAGCATGTTAAAAGCCAACCAATCCAGCTCACTTTCAGCAGAGAAGGAGCATATAGTTTGAAATAGGAATTGCGTAACTTCATTTCAATATTTCTTCAGAAATTCTCTGCCATGCCGTTATTTTAATCACATTTATTTTAGTTTCCAGTGACTGATTGAAAGTGAGCCGGTTGTTGGCTGACGGTCTATGAATGAGGGTTGTGGTGTTACACACAGAGAGAAGTGTCCTTGGCAGGTCGAGGAGGAATGTGGGGGTGGGGGGGGGGGGGGGGGGGGGGGGGGGTTAGGGTTGATAGGTTGCAGGTGCAGTGTGACACTGTAGGATTCAGAGAGCATGTAACAAATGCAGACAGACATACAGACAAAACACTGACACGCATCCCAGCACTGAGCAGCACTGACAGACAGTAAAGCAATGCAGACTGCAGCCTCAATAGATAAACACTGTCTCTGGATTTGAACTTTACACTGTTCCTATATGTGTTCTATGAAGTGTCTGAACACACTTGAGTGGACCTTTCTGCTACATTAGGCCTCCACATGTGGGATGCATTTTCTTAATCAGAGCGCGCACACTGGTGCAGCGTTAATCCCACAAGAGTGTGAAGCTTTTATCTTAATGTGTTTTCTCTCAAGTCCAAACAGACACTGAGCAGTCTTACTGTGGGCGGAAGCACTAACTCGGATCCTGCTGTGAAAGTGATTTGCTCGTGAAGACTTCTTATTAGCTGGCTAAGCAGTTATGCTACTATGGGATTCCAAGTCAATTTGTTCTTGACTTTGCTCTTGACATACTTTTTAATACTTGCACTGCACTCATACTCTCTTGAGGCTACAATAAAAGAGTGCTCCGTTAAATATAGTTTTAATATGTGAGAACCACACATGCATCAACTTCAAATGTGAAGATTTCCATACATGTATTTAGTCATGTACAGTATGTGCGATTTCATTACAATCAAGACATATTTTGTCATGCCACGTGTTATAATATAAATGCATAATTAAAATCTCTGAGCTAAATGATTTCCTTCCAGAAGGCAAAGCTAACCATAGTGGTATCAGACAGACTCTTTGCAACAAGAGGATCATTGGAGAAATCAAAGCGTTGTTATTGTAATGGGCCTTTGATGTACCCCCAAAAGAAATAGGAATTTTGATTGACCTCCGTTTGCCTGTATTGTATTGTGCTGTTAAAGAAGTAACAGCAGCATATCCCTTCATAGGGAATCTCTTGGCTAGTATCCATGGACCCCAATGTCAATAGTAACACTCTTTTGACCAAAGTCACAAAAAAGCATTAATGTAATCCGTTGACATTAAGGTCTGTGGATTACAAGCAAATATGGTAGACTTCATTTGGAAATCGAACGATTAAAGGAAGCCATTATTTCCTATAAATCATAGGTTCATGTAATGCTAACACTAGAAAAAAGTTATAAAACATAATTACTATTTAATAATGTAATGTGTGAACAGGCTGCATGGCTTACCAAACTGTTGTCAGCTCAGCACTACTACTCTACTTTAGTATTGGTAAGGGTAAGCAGGACCACAGTTATCAAGAGTGAAGGGTGGAGGATAGTCACCACACTCTGCTTTGTGCACTGTTGTATGAACGTGCAGAAGGCAGGGGGGGGTCTTCAGGTCTGAATCATGGTTAGTGGGAGTCCAAAGTTAGAGGCTGCCACGTGTTACCTGAGGTCAGTCTCTGAGATACTCCTCTGGTGCAAGTCCTCTTCTTTCTCCACCAAATCCTCCTGATGCTCCTTGTCTGTGTCTACCTTCCCCACCGACCCTTTCCTCCCCCCCTGCGCTTTCCCATCTGTACTGGCCCTTCTCCCTTCCCCTCCTCCTCCTCCTCCTCCTCCTCCCGCCTCCTCCTCCTCCCTCACTTCTCCTAACTGCTCATCCCCCTCCCGAGACTGGCTGAAGACGGAGACAGAAGCAACAGAGCAGGACATGCAAAGCAGAAAGAAAAACCAAACAACGCATGAATATTGTCAACCAGTGGAGAAAGAAAGACAAACGCAGACACACAGAGCAGCCCACATCGAAAGCAGACTGATTCAAAGTAACAGAAAACAGAAATGACAGAAAGCAACATGCAAATGACTAGCTTTATTTCTGCTGATATGACACAACACATAAAGAGATGCAATGTGTTGTATGTTTTCAGTGTGTGTTGCCAGATATGGACAACTTTCCCCCCACAACCTGAATGAGCAGAGTTCCACCGTTTGGTTCCAGATGTGATCTAAACGGAGCCAAACCTGAACTCTTGCAGTGAGAACATGACACACAGGGCTAGGTCGGTGCACTCTCCTCTTTCAACCAGGTGCAAACGATTTCAAAGCTGAAAACGTGTGGACTTGGCAATATGTAAAGAAAGACAGGTTCTCAGTGGAGGGGGATTTGTCCATTCCTGATAACAGCTTGATGAGTGTAGAGAAAGTTCAACGGCTTACCGGATTTTGCGGTTTCCTTGCGGCCTTTCTGATTGGACAGACATGTAGCTCGTGCTGCTGAACCGAGAGGCACTACTGGTTCTCGACACAGCGGACACGTCGCTTACATCGCTGTCCGATGACTTGGCCGACAGGTTATCTGAGCCCCGGGGATCTCTGCCTGAGCGCTGAGGAGAAGTCAAGAACAATACAACATTATTTAAAAAAAAAGAGTTTCTGGGCCTTGACTCGCAGTCAGACACTTGAAGACTCAGACACAGGGCCTATCATTGGGAGTGCACGCTCTTTTTAAAAAGGTTATTACAACTGTGAGATAATGATTTGAATGTGAGATGTGAAGACAGAGTATGACCTTTAAGCGCAAAGAAAACAGTGCTAGCATGTCTTTAGCTTGTTTAGCTAGTCCTGATGCAGGGGGGGTGGAGAAAGTAGACCTTTGAGTTCAACTGTCAGAAGAGTAAAGATTATCAATATTATTGAAAATGTTGTTACAGAAGGTGTATTAGGTAACGTTTGAAAGATTAGAATGTACGTCAGGCCAATAAACCAAGATGACAGAAAGTAGAAGTCTGCAGGTTGAACCTTGCAGGAGTTCACAACATAAGAAAATGTGTCTCATAGGCATGGAGGTATTTCAATTCAAATCAGCAGTATAGGTTAAATAATATGAATGTATCTGTATCAGAAATCAGAAATCCTTTTGAATCCCTCAGCGGGGAAATGTAAAGCCTTACAGCAAAGTGACATATCAGATCAAATGGATAAAGCTAACAATAATCATAATCTGTCATTATAATTCAATAATATGATACACAAAAGGTCATTTTACTTGATATTCTATGTATATGTTGCTGAAAATATGTGTTTATGGTATTACTGGTGGACATGCATGATTCAGTATGATGTGGAAACCAGCATTACACTATCACTCCCTTGGAAGCTAGGATACTTATCTTAGCATCATCCTGGCTTGAGAGAATGTTTCAGCTGGATTGTGTATATCATAACCTGTGTGTATTTCTGATTGGTATGTTTTCTGCCAGAGAATCTGCACTGAGTGTTACAGTAAGTGTGTTGTATTGTATTTTAAGAGCAAGCACTCACAAGTCTGGTTTCATAACAGTGGGAGCATTGTTTTGTCACTTTCACTTCCAAAGAGGATAATGTTCAACAGACTTTAATAATAGGCTTTTTATAGACTCGTAGCGAACACATCGGCTGCTCCAAATGCAATAGTTGAAATAGCAGAGACTTAAAAGGAGAGCTGGACAGAGAGCGTTTGTCTTGTACGGCTCGGGGCAGACTGCAGGCCGAGCTCTCTAAACATCAGGAGTTCCTAGAGCAGAGTAGTAAACACTCCACTCTGCACTCACTCACTGCCACATTCACCATTTACAACAAAAGGCTTAAAGGCTCAGTTCACCCACATGACGAAAAGAAAATACATTTTCTTCAACTGTTTTGAGACTTCGGCCAAAGCTATGAGTAATGACATTTCTGCAACAAAAGTGTCTTTCCAAAGGTGTTGTCCCATTTACTCAGCACACTACAATTATCCAAATATGTAAACATGAACTACTATTATAGTCTATATATACAGTGTTATGGTGATTGATGTTTTGTTTTTTAAATGTTGGGAAACATGGGAACTTTTCAGATTTACAAAGACATTGTTTATGGAAAGGAATGCTGCTTTTCAGATATATTGATTTGAATAAAAGCAAAACAAACATATGATTACTTGTGTTACTTGGTTGACCTTCAAAAAACAAGTGGGGCTAATTGAGTGGACTCCAACCTTTGAACCCTGTTGTGCTTTGTTTGTGTGACTTTGTCTGTGGTACACTAATGCACATGCGCAGAATGATGTTGATGTGTGCATGTGTGCAAAGTGTGCCATGTGGCCTGTGCACAGTGCAGCCATGCAAACAGTGCACTGTGGGTTCATGTTACTGTCTGTGAGCGTGTGGTTACCTTGTGGTAATCCTGCTCCAGTCTGGAGTCGGAGCCCGCTCCCTGCTTGTACTTGTTCATCTTCAGCTTCATCTGCCGGGTCCTCTCCTCCATGTCCATACCTAAGCACAGAGACAGAGGGCTGTGAGAGGGGGGGCTGAGGCAGTGAGGAGGGCCTGATGGGGGGGGGGGGGACGTACTGTTATGGTGAGAGACAAGCTTCTGCTATGAGCCATGAGCTATGACAAGGACAGATCCAATGGGATTAAGCTGAATGGTCGGCTGTATTAACAAAGACAAACAGTACTGACTGGTAAAGGTGAGCGGCACAACAGACACAAGCTACATTTAGAAACAGTTGTCACAATTCCAGGTTCTTTTAACGTTATGGAATATTCTTTTGAATTGACTGAAGAATAATGAGTTTGGACAATTTATTGATTCCTGCTTCACAGCTTGGACACTGATTGGACATGTGGAAAAGACAGATTTCAGCGATGCGTGTGAGGCGCCGCCAGGGATTTTGGGCCCTATGAAAAGATTTCACATTGGTTACTTAAACATTTTTTTCTTAATGTTCTAAAATAGTTTGGGCCCCTGTCAGTCACGGGCCCTTAGAATCGTCCTAACTTTTCACCCCTGCGTGTGACCACTGTTAGGACACATTTTACATAACATTCTGGATTCTGCCCTTTAACAGAACATGTTCCTGAATTTGGCAAACACATCCCTCATAGCTCAAACTGAAAGGTTGCTAAATCTGTTTTTTTCTCATTTTAGTGCTTTGTAAAATAATCACAGTCCTTTCACCCCTCTCATCTCTTTCTTAATTCAGTTTACGCACTGTGCTTTGTTTTTTAATATTGCTGCTAGCGCAATTTTACAGTGTAAAAACACCACACTATAATCAATACAGAAGCCTAACCTTGTTCTGCTGAGGTAATAACACCACTGCATCAGAAGAACTAACCTAAACCTTACAACAAACACTTTCTGCTGCTTCATGTCACCACCAGATGATGACTCTCCTGCAGTACCTGCTTCTCCATTCTCTCATTGCTCTCTACTTTTGTGTCATTTGATGACAATGATAACGTGAAGATGAATGCACATGTACAAGTGCCATGCACACATACAATATGCCTTAAGCTTCAAATACATACACACACACAGACAAAGAAAAGCAATACAAGCTGAGAACAAATGAATAAGGCAAAGTTCATTTAAAGGTGGGGTAGGTCATTTTGGAGAAACCAGCTCGAGATCGCTAGAATTTGAAAATACACAGCCGGAAAAAATCTGCCACTTCCTTACAGAGCCCCTCCTCCAACACACACGAACGCGCACATGACCAATGAGGGCACGAGATAAGTGTGTACACAGATGGAAGGCTGACAGGCAGGTAGGCCATCCAGTTATTTTAGCCGGGCCGGCTCAGATGATTAGTCGTGCTTTTTACAGTACTACGGCTTCCACAGATGACATTTCTTTATGGATTTTTTGTTAAAGCACTTAAGATATTCATTGCTATCGGGATGTTAAGAGCATTCCATGGAATATAACAAAAAGTGTATCTCGAGCCGGTTTCTCAAACTTACCTACCCCACCTTTAACTCAATAGAATGAAGATCAATCTCTCTCGGTTTATTGTTTACAGTTACTACCCTGCTCCTGGAAACTCTCACAGCCCACACCCTGCCATGTGTTGAGGTATCTAAAAATGACAGGGAAAGGGTCATTTCATGTAAGAGGCATTCAGGAAACTGCTTGTAATGTCAGCATTTATTTTTGCCTCATCTCTGGACCAAACATTTTGTTCAGCTATTGTTGTCTAGCTGATTTTAAGGTGAATGTGTGGCTCCAAAGTGTGGTGACTTGGTCTTCAGGCTCATTGGATTTGGAATTAAACAATGGCTATGTGGGTGGAGCTGCAGCTTTCAGCGTGTCTGTGATGTGAGGGTCTTTAAAGCCAGATCAGATGAATAGTGTTGGTACTGCAAGCCTTTCTATAAGCAGCCCTCCAATTATTAGGGGAGAGTAAGTGAGTAAGTGGGCAATACGTAAAGTGATCAGAACAGTTTTAGGAGTGTGATCATTATTAACTTCATGCCTAAAGTTTAATGAGAAGATTGGTACCTCTAATGTGAGTATAGTAAATATGTAGCTGGAGTCAGCAGACACTTAGCTGAGCTTAGCACTAAATGCTAGCCTGGTTCTGTCCAAGCTAAAATGTGCTGAATTATAACCAGATATAAAAAACATATTTATTTCTGTTGTTGTTACTTGTTCGTAAATTATAAACAAACATTTATTTAGGGAAATTATGAAAATGTGAGTTGTTCAAATAAGAAGAATTCTGCCGCTATACAAACACGGCACGTTTTTTGTAGAAAATGATAGTGACTCATGTCAACACCTGCAGCAAAGAAACCACAGTGGCATGAATATGATAGACACAGTCTCTCTGCAGCAAAACAAAAAGAAATGACAAGAGAAGCAAGAAGCATCATCTGCAGAACAATTAGGAGCACTAATGAAGCAGGCAAAGCGGGACAAGAGATGAGGGGATGTGGGTGGGGGTGGGCAAGGCCTAGAAGGGGTACAGATTGAATAAAAGTAGGAGAGGAGAAGAAGAAGAGGAGGCAGAAAAGAAAGATTGAAGAAGAAGAAGGGACAGACCTGAGTTCGTCCAACCTGGTGAGTCCGTGTCTTCTGGGATCACATCACAGAATGGACAGACACAGACATAGGAGAGGAAGATGGGTGTGAGAGGATGCACGAAGGGTAAGTGGGGGGACGGAGGAGAAGAGGGAGGAAGGAGGGAGGGCGACGCCGTCACAGTTGTCACAGTGTAAGCCAGGTTTGGGAGGGTCAGAGTGAGGAGGAGAGGATGGAGGGACACAACACGACAACAATGCGACACGACAATGACAAAACAACGAGAACAGAACACACACAGGAAATCATAGAGAACACCGAGAACACACAAAGTCCACCATGGGCACAGTGAGAAGTCAACACAGAGCGAGAGGGTGCGAGGCCAGGAGAGGCTGAGGCGGAGGCTAAGAGTTTGGTTATTAGAGATCAGAGTGGGGGGAGGTTGGGAAGGTGAGGTTTCTGTGCTTTGAAGGGAAGAAGAGCTGAAACAGTAAAGAGATGTTAATGTATCCGCCCAGATAGAAGCTGGAGACCTCTGAGGATATAGGCGGGGAGAAGGGGGGAGGAAAGGAGGGTAAGAGGAGAAGTGGATGTCACTTGAACCTGCATGGGGCAACTGTGAGGAGATAGCCTGGAAAAATAACGAAAATAAAGGAAAGGAAAAATAAAACACACAAACTGAAGCACAGAGCAGCGAGCGCACAAAAGAGAGAGCCGACTACCTAACAAGGTGTTTCCATCAAATGTGAACATTGATAAAAGTACCAGTGTAACCTGAGTGCACTTTCACAAACACACAATCACACTCCACACTCTCATCATATTCATGTCCTTCCATCCTTCTGCTCAGCATGCTGGGACCCTGAGGACTGTTTCCCTTTTCATACCATGTTCTCTTTATGTTGTTCTCCTGTGTTTAGAACCCCTTATGGCGTCACATGACCTCAAACGGTGGGTTTGAGTTCCTAATCAGCAGCGTCTGTAACTGCATATCGTTCCAGCACCGACATGGCATTGTGCGAATCAGTGACATTGCAGGATATGAAAAAGTAAGGCAAATGAACTCAAACAGGTCATTCCATTTTTTTTAAACGGAAGTATGTCCAATAAAGCATCATTTACGACCCATTTTAGGGTTGTCAGATACACACATTTGTTGCTAGTGACATGTAAGCTCCGCATTCACAGAAAACAACTAACACCATATTTCCTGATATATTTCTCTAAGCAGGCCCATACTGTATTTCTCTAAGCAGGCCCATCTTCAAAATGAAATGAAACCACCTCTTGATTTCTAAGAACAGTGAAACCATGGCAACCCTAGACCAAGATGACCCCAGCTGCATAGAGCTAAGGAGTATGATTATATAAACTAAATAAAATAATAAGGAGACATATTGTCCAAAGAGCAGAACCAGACAGAATATGGGAATAATGTAAGATTAAACAATATCTGTGATAATGTCCATTGTAGTTGATGACTGTGGTTTTCTTGCAAACACATTCAGTCTTTTTCTTGTGATATCCAGAAATGATTATCATTCACTTTAGGCGACACAGCAATCCCAGTCCAGGGGTCTGAACCTTACAGGACGAACAGTGACAGCTACAAAAAAGTCCCACTCTGATCAGACCTCATTTTCATACCCCCTCACACGGAATTTGCATTTAGCTCAATTAGTACTCCATTAGGGTGAATAATGAAGTGTCACATGAATAAAAAGACAATGAGAGACATCTGCATCTGCAGCTTTCATCTCTTTGTGGACGCTAACATCATCTCATTAGAGAGTCAAATGATAATCAAGATCAAAATGATACTTCAGCAGCATCATGTAGGTCATCAGGAGAGAGAGTGATGTATTGAGAAGGAGATGGGAGTGAGTCAGTGTGAACAAGACTCCTGTGGTCTGTGGATTAATACTGCATGGTAATAACATCTGATATCTACTGCAATGGCCTCTGAATCACAAAGTATTAGGAGTCAAACAATTACAAATGGTTATCAATATAGGAACAATAAAAAGTAGAAGTCCATAACATTTTTCCATGAGTAGAAAACGATTAAATAGAAATGATCCTCGGGTTGAACTTTTGCAAATAACACAAGGCTACCATGGCTACCAGCAAATGCTAAGCAACAAGCTGGAAAAGACAATCATTCTGAGACCAAGATACTTATAGGTTGAGAAAATATGCCAAGAGGAAGAAAAAGAAAACAGAAGAGAACCAAGGATTTTAGGTAACACTTTATATTAAGGTACACACATTCACCATCAACTAGTTGTTAAGGGGGGGCAGCTTGGGCGCATTGTTGTTGCCAGTCTATGACAGAGCACAAGCCGCCATGAGGTAGTTTACTGTTCAGGGACGTAGGTTCCCTGGCACACATTCTTTTCTATGGGCGAGAGCTCTAGTTAGATTCAGGGTCCATAATTGTTTAGTCTCACTGATAAAGAATGTT